CTTAAGTGACAGTCTTCAATCAGGTCCTCCCATAAGACAGAAACTTGAACTTTAGTATAATTGGATATTGCCAGAATTCCTTGAAGGGACCAATCAGAGTATATGAATATCTCTTAGTGGCCAGCAAACTCATTAGTCAAATATCAACAGTACAACGACTGAAATTTCTTTTGAGAGCCAAATTTTTTTAAACTTAAACTTCTTTTAAGGACACTTCCTCAAAATAGACTGGCCCAGGCTGTGGTATTCTGTGAAAGAGCCACACTCAAGGGGCCAAAGAGTCTCATGTGGCTCCCGAGCCACAGTTTGCCGACCACGGGCCTAGACAAAGAGCTTAAGTGGTAACCTGTTTTGGGCCCCTTCCTGCTGCCTAAGTTCTTCTATCCCCCCCTAAACTTTGTCTCCCCCCCTCTTCCCCAATACATTTTGTTTTCTTCCCACCATTTTGTCTGTGAATCCATTCTTCAGTTTTACAAGACAAAGAGCTTCAGCCTGACCACCAATTTTGGGTTTCAAGAGCATAGGGGGGAGGGGGAAGCAAAAAAATCTTAAATGGGAAAAATGTGGATGATACCACACACAATATTCCTGAGCAACACGTGTAAGTTACCTTGGTTTCCATTTCATTTTTTGTGCAATTGCAGTCTATCCTAAAATTTTATATATTAATATATATATATATTATATATATATATATAATCTTCAAAAGCAATCAATGCAATAATTAACACAGCAGCCAGGAAAAAAGTGCAGAGGAGTTAGCTTAATTTCTCCCCTCAAATACTGTCTGATTTTAGGCAGGAAAAACTCCTTTACATTTTCATCTAACAAATGGCAAGTAGTGGTTTTATGTCTATTTGACACCATAAGGTAACATTTACTTTGAGTTGGGCTGTTGCTTAGGCATTGGTAGTACAATAGTGAATGACATGAGATGCCTGCCCTCAAAAGCTAGTGAACATAGTAACTCTAGTCTATCAGATAAGTATCAGAGCCAGAGCAAGGAAAAAAAACGAATACTGCAGAAATTTACTCAAGTCCAGAGAGTCAGGGAAGGCTACTTGGATAATAAGGAAAAAAAACCTTGATAAAGGGGAAAATGACTAGGTATTCCAGGCAGTGGGAATAAGTATATAAAATGAATGGCATAATTGCTTCATTTAGTGTTATCATATTCATAGATTAATAGTTCAGATAATAGTTACATTCCCAAATGTAAGGTCATGATGAAATGCAAAAAGTGATATGTAGTGATTTTAATTTAATTAAGATCACGCTTTATTCTGATATGGATACCTCTCCTACTTTGGGGATGTTAAAATGTCATCCTTTCTCGAAAATGTAGTGATAGCAGATGGAAATGTGATTTAAAAAAAATTCTTTGGTCGAGCCAATGTGGCTCAGTGGTTAAGCATTGACCTATGAAGCAGGAGATCATCATTCGATTCCCAATCAGGGCACATGCTGGGATTGCGGGCTTGATCCCCAGTGTGAAGCACACAAGAGGCAGCTGATCAATGATTCTCTCCCATCATTGATGTTTTTATCTCTCTCTTCCTTTCTTTTCCTCTCTGAAGTCAATTAAAAAAAAATTTCTTTAGCCAAATAAAAGATCTTGTGCTGATCCCTAAATTTTATTAGTTTATGAAGCAGAGAAAAATGTTCAGTTCTCTATGCTATATAAATGTTTGTTTTTCTTTTTCTCTCTTTGGTTAAAAATAATACTCAAAAAGTCTACAGGGAACTCAGATTTTAGTATAGAGCAAACAGTTCCAGTAACATTAGAACTGAAGGACGGGAATATAAATCCCCAGCCCTTTGAAATTCTAGTTAGTTGTCCAATAGTTACCTCTATAGAAGTGCTCTCTGAACTCCTCAGCATTGTTTCCAAAGACCTGACATTTGTGCTTTTCTTACAAACTTATTTTTAAAGCCAAGATCATTTCCTGGATTTGTTTTGACAGAATTCCTAGGATTTACTTTTTAGTACCTTGATTGAAAACTTTCTAGGTTTTAGCAATTAATTTCATAATATTATTAAATTGCTTAATGATAATATAAGCCAGCATATATATGTGTGTGTGTGTGTGTATGTATATATGTACACACACATACACACACACACACACACACACACACACACACACTTGTATGCTGAAGACAGTGCTAAATAGTTTCTGTAGTTATTACATTTAAACCTCATACCAGCCTTTATGTTTCTTAGATTACTATATAGAGAGGTTAAGTAACTTACATGAGGACACCAAGCCAAAAGTTGAGTTAGTAAATGATTGAGATTGCCTGTAGTTTATTGTAACAGCATGAAAAAGTGTCTTTATAATCCAAAGCTGTGCAGATATACCAGCTTGTTTCTTGTTTAGAATTGAAAACTATTAACAATTAACATTGTGTACTATCTAAAGCTTGCATTTAGGATCTACATATATCTCTATCTCTATATACTTATTTTCTAAGTGCACCCAAAATCCTCCAGGAAAAACAGTAATTTCTTAAATCCATTTGTCTCTTAAAGAATGAATTAAGGGGGAAAACACACATACAAAAAAGAAAAGTAGAGGCTGGTCAAACCCTTCAGAAATATGTAAGCTTTCTGTTAACCCTATTCAACTCACTTTAAAAAGCTTTGGAGAAGGGTCTAGCTGCTGCCTGGAAAGGTGGCTAAAAGTAGTGGAGAGAATATGGGCTTGGAAGACAACAGTGAGTTCAAATCCTAGCATTTTGTAAGCTTCATTATTTGTTTGTAGGTGACAAAACAAATTTAAACTCAGAATTATTGGGAGTTCTAGTTGGAGACCAGACTTAGAGGAGAAAAACTTGCACCTGATTTCCAATCTAATAATGCTCAAAAGACTGGTAATGTAAGAAAAATTAACAGATCAGATGTTTAAGGGTGGGCAATGGTGGGAGAGATATCAGAAGACCTTGTTCTAGGCTAGGGTGATTTTAAGGATTTACTTTTGTCTCCCTGTCTCCTTTCTGAGAAGTTAAAAAGGTTTCTGGTACCCAGGAACAACCATCATGATTATTTTTAAAGTACAAGTCTATCTGAAAAGTTCTAGAAGGAAACAAATGTACTTTATCATTATTTTTAAATAAATTTATCCAAAGAAAATTAATATTTTCACTAGTCAGTGAGTTTAACAAGGCTATGTATGTACCAGCGATTGAATATGAGTAAAAAATAACCTAGAAGTTATTCTTTCAGACAGTTTTACATATTTCATGTAAACAATAAAACTTTTTCTCCTCTTGCTTTATAACAAGTCCTACTTTTGCTTCTTTCTATGCCCTTTGGCTCCGTATTAAAAGAGAAAACACTCAAAGTGCTGTATTTTGCAATATTGATGACCAACTAAGCTCAGGATATTTATTTCCATCTGGTAGAATTCAACTTCTGCCTCTTGTTTGCCTTCTCCATCTGCTCCCTCACCATCTTTTTTTTTTTTTTTTCTCCTCTTCCTTAATGGGAGTTCATATTAACCCTTTTCTGGGCCTACTTGTTTCAGCAGGCTCACGCCTTTGTGCCAGTCTTTTTTTCCTTCTAGTTTGCAAGTAGGGTTTCCAGTAAATTTAAATGTCTATGCCTAATACTTTCACAAGCTTCAAATTTTCTTTTTTTCTTCTGTTTTCATAAAGAGCACCAGAACTCAAGGTTCAGGCAGTTATTTGGACCAGAACACAGCAATTTTTGGTTCTGCATATAAATAGTGTAGAATACAGTATATCCCCTCCCCCCCCCCCCCATACATAATAAAATGTACAAGATCCAAGTTACTCTGTATTCTGTTAACAGGCTTTCCTTAGCAACCTTAAGTTGGAGGCAGGAAAAGTGCCCACTCTCCTCTCCCTTGGCTCCTGAGGTTACTGCAACAGCAACCAGGAAAGGCTCACCAACCTGTTATTTATTTATTTCGCAATTAAACTTTTACAAAGACATCCCCGACTCCTCCCTCTCCCCCCGCCCCCAGAGGGGTGTAGCAGAAACGGCTCCGTGGCGTAGGCTGCCCTTCCGCGAGGGCTCCCACAGACTACAGCGGGCCCAGCGAGAGCCCGTCCGCGCCCCCCGCCCCCCAACTTTCCTCTTGCACCCCCGCTGCGCACCCCACAAGCGCCTTCAGCGCGGGCACCCACACGCCGCTGCACCACCCGCTCCTCCTGCCGGGGGCGCCTCCGGCCAGGTCCACCTGGAGCGGGATGGCGTGTGAGCACCGAGGACGCGCGGCGGCCGGAGCAGCGGGAGTGCGCACACAGCCGGGCAGAGCAGGCTCACCCGCCCCGCACGCAGCCTCTGGCCGGAGAGCCCAAGGGCCGCACTCCCACACGAACGCACCGGCCCTGGGCCTCGGGCCGCGGAAGCCGGAGGGCGGGGCCAGGCCCGGGGGCGGGGCCAGGCCCGGGGGCGGGGCTTTCACACGCTTCCCGTGTCCGCCGCCCCCGCTCTCCCTCTCTCCGGCCGCCACTCCGGGTTTATTTGTTTACAAGCGGATTACGTCAGCTCCGCCCTCTCTTCCGCGCGCCTCCGGGCCCGCCCCCTGGCCGCTTTTCCCGCCCCCTCCGGCTCCGAACCTGCTTGCGTCACAATGGTGCGATCTCGGGATTGGCTGGATCAGGCCGTCACGCTCCGGCTACGCACTTCCTTTCCGCGGCGCTATAAAAAGTGCCGCCCGGAGCCCGCACCTCTTCGCCGCCCAGAGCTGGAAATGCAACTGCTGGGAGCTTCGGAGGCTGCTTAGCTGGAGGCGGAGGCGGCTGGGGAGGTCCGAGCGATGTGACCAGGCCGCCATCGCTCGCTACCTCCTCTCTCCTGCCGCCTCCTGTCTCTCAAATAACTTTTTTTTTTTTTTTACTATAAAGAGAAAAAAAAAAAAAGTAGCCGCCCGCCCCTCACGCCCTTCTCTTCCTCTTAGCCCTCTGACCTGAGAGGGAGCCCGGGGTGCCGCTCCGCCGTCGGGGCCGCGCCGCCGAGCCCCGCCGCCCCCATGCATCCCTTCTACACCCGGGCTGCCACCATGATAGGCGAGATCGCCGCCGCCGTGTCCTTCATCTCCAAGTTCCTCCGCACCAAGGGGCTCACGAGTGAGCGACAGCTGCAGACCTTCAGCCAGAGCCTGCAGGAGCTGCTGGCAGGTGAGGGGCCTCGGTGCGAAGGCGAGGAGAGGGGTGCCCGAGGGGTGCGGGCCCCCCAGCCCCGGGCGGGCGGGCGGGCTCGGGCCGCGGGAGCCTGGCTGCGCCTCGGGCCGCCGCCGCCGCCGCGGGACCGACCGGGACGGGCGCGCTGGACGCCCAGTAACGGCGGGATCCGGCGAGGGTTAGGGGGTTGGGGGCTGGGCCGAGGGCGCCCCCTCTCCCCACGGCTGGCCAGGGGAGGGGAGAAGAAAACGGGACGCACAACAAAGAAAGTAAAGCCCACTGAGGCGGGAGCCGCGGTCCTCGGACCTTCGGTCCGCGTAGCTGGGGACAAAGGAGCGACGGGGCTGGGGGGTGGGGGTCTGCGCCCCCACTCTCACCCCCGCCCCCTAACCGTCCGGTGCGGGGCGGCCGGCCCGGGGGGGGGGAGGGGGCGCCGCTGCCCCGGAGCCAGCCTGGGACGGACGTGCCGCCTGCCCTGGCCGCCTCCTCCCGCCCATTAATCACCGGGTTTGTCACCGGGACGATTGCGCTCTGCCCAGAGCTTGGTCTAGAGTCGCTTGTTTTTCTTCCCTTTCGGGGTGCGCAGTCCGGGTGCGCGTCTCTTCTCCAAAGCCCTATACACCCCATTGTGTGCGGCTTCGGGTGGAGAGAGTGCGGGTTCCCGCCCGGCCGCCCTGCTATCTCGCTGGCCAGGCTGCGCGCCTGGTTCCTGGTTTTGGCGGCTCCGCCGGTGGGTTCCTGGACATTTTTTTTTTTTTTTTTTTTTTGGTCCCGAACTACTGTATTGTTTCTAACATCCGGCCCGCTCACTCCCCGCACACGCATAGCAGTGAATGTAATGCTGGGCACTTAAAAAAGTTGATCGTTTTCAAAGGAGCCATTGGGGGAAGGGAAAACGACCAGCGGTAGTTGCAGGTAACCGTCTAAGCATTGTTTTTCTCTGTTCTTCTCTCCTGTAGAACATTATAAACATCACTGGTTCCCAGAAAAGCCGTGCAAGGGATCAGGTTACCGTTGTATTCGCATCAACCATAAAATGGATCCTCTGATTGGACAGGCGGCACAGCGGATTGGACTGAGCAGTCAGGAGCTGTTCAGGCTTCTCCCAAGTGAACTCACACTCTGGGTTGATCCCTACGAAGTGTCCTACAGAATTGGAGAGGACGGCTCCATCTGTGTGTTGTACGAAGCCTCGCCAGCAGGAGGTAGCACTCAGAGCAGCTCCAGCGTGCAAATGGTAGACAGCAGAATCAGCTGTAAGGAGGAACTTCTCTTGGGCAGAACAAGCCCTTCCAAAAACTACAATATGATGACTGTATCAGGTTAAGATATAGTCTATGGATGGATCATCTTATAATGGATGGATAAATTTGATTTTTGCTTTGGGTGGGCTCCTCTTGGGGATGGATGGATTATGGAATTTAAATCATGTCACAGCTGTGAAGATCTGGCACAAGATAGAGTGGTAAAAAAAATTTTTTTAAGTGACAGTGCCATAGTTTGGACAGTACCTTTCAATAATTTAATAGCCTGAGTCCAAGTAAATGATCACTTTATATGCCAGGGAGTGAAGTCCTAGGGTGGTTTCAGTTTCTCCCAGACGCTATACCTAAATTTTTACGTCAGTCCCTTTAAATGCAAATCTGTATTTCAAAGAACTGATCTCTGCAGTAGATCTTGCAGATGAAATTTGCACTATTACACTTGAAAATTGTTAACTTTTTGGCAGCTGAATAGGAAAGCTCAACATTTTAAACAAGGTAGTACTGGAAGTTTTATGACAAGACTTTTACCTAGCACTTAAATATGTATAAATGTACATAAAACAAACTTAGTAGGCATGACCTGGGGAAATGGTCAGACCTTGTATTGTGTTTTTGGCCTTGAAAGTAGCAAGTGACCAGAATCGGCCTTGGCAACAGGCTTTAAAATTTAAGACCCTTAAAAAGACACTGTCTCAACTGTGGTGTTAGCACCAGCCAGCTCTGTACATTTGCTAGCTTGTAGTTTTCTAAGACTTGAGTAAACTTCTTATTTTTAGAAAGTGGAGGTCTGGTTTGTAACTTTCCTTGTACTTAATTGGGTAAAAGTCTTTTCCACAAACCACCATCTATTTTGTGAACTTTGTTAGTCATCTTTTATTTGGTAAATTATGAACTGGTGTAAATTTGTACAGTTCATGTATATTGATTGTGGCAAAGTTGTACAGATTTCTATATTTTGGATGAGAAATTTTTCTTCTCTCTATAATAAATTGTTTCTTATCTTGGCATTTTAATTAATCTCTTGTCATGATTATAGACGGTCAGCTAAAAATATATTTCTCAGAAGACTTAGTTTCTATAAGCTATGTGAATGTCAGTTGCACACTGGTCATGCTAAGAACATTTATTTGATAACGAGCGAAGGTCTATGTATACATATTTAGATGCTATAGAGGAAACACAGGGTTAAGTTTTGTTTTTTTAAATCTCAGAAGTCAAAACATGGACATATTCCCAGGCCAAATGCATGAAATGAGGATGAAACAAAAGGTAACATCTACCAAAAATGATACTGAAAGGATTACATTTCATTGCTTCCCAGTTGAAGTGAAGATACAAATGTTCCATTCTGACCCACCTTTGAGAAACAATTATTTTGCCCTTATGGATTCCTTGTTCAGTTAAGAAATCCTGGGGCAGATGACCCATAGTCTTAAAAGAACAGGCTAATCTCTACAGAGAGATTGGTTGCTTTTGCTTTTCATCAGCTGCAAGATTTACATTAAAAAAAAATCACTTAATCTGGAATTCAACAAAAGGTATGTTTATACATTTTTATTCTCAAAAGTTGTAATGCTGAGCTTTTGATTTCTCATTTTCAGACTTATTTCAGTTAAAGCCTAAGAACCTAAATGAAACAAATGAACATTGTTGGAGTGTAGATTACTTGTACACTGCCCTTATGATAGAGACTTAGTAAATTTTTGTTTGTAAAGGATAACATGGTTTTTCTCTACACAGTTAAGTAACTTGCCATATAGTAACATTTTTTTGCATAAATTAAACATGTTCACACTGGAAAGTCTACTTGAAATTAGTAATCCCAATTAAATATGAAAATTTATTTTTATCTGTAGGGTTAAATTATGACACTGTAGATTATACAGGAATGCACAGCTAAGCCTGCAGGTATTTGGAATACAGATAATGTGAACTTGATTAGCAGGCTATATTGGGAGTTTGAAATATAACCACAACACATAAGTCTACCCTTGCTAATAACGGTTTTATTTTTCTGTTCATTTTTTGAAAACCCTCCTCCCCTCTCAGTCTTTCAAACTTGAATTTACAATAAAACAAATGGTACTCCAGTCTTGACACAGGTCTCACACCAGTGTTGAAGACTAGTGTATACCAACTGCATTTCCTATGGCAACTAACTCCTTTGAAGCTAGATAACTGATAAAGCTTTACATAATCTGGCGAAGTGAGGAGACTTCTCAGATGGAGAACTGGTTTTGAAGATCTTCACATCAGACTTTTCAGTACTTTAAAATAAATTTGGTAGGAAGAGAACTTAATAAAACATTTTATTTTTGAATTCAGGTGATGTCTGGCAAGGAAGGAGCTGTTAAGTTCCTCTTTAAAAGGCAAGCATCACTGAGGCTTAGCAGCCAGCTGTTTCCTGTGACTTTAACCCTGCATTCCCCAGACAGTTGTCTAGTACAGTAACTGATGGTTCTTGTTCACTGCTTCTGGGGAATGTTTTGCCTAGCTATTTTGATGAAAACATTTGAGTGTCTGTTGCGTGCACATGTAGGTGTGTACCAAGCCTGTACATGTAGTCGTTTATTCCAGTTGCGTACTTTTAGTTTAGTAGTGAAAAATTTAAAAGGTTTTTACACAGCCTAAGTTAAAGATAGTTCTTTCATGAAATCATTTTAGGAAGTGATTTAGAAATCATTTTAGGAAAGGATGTCTGCTTTCAAAATGCTTTCAACCATTAGTTGTTACTAACACCAGGAATTCAGTTATTAGCAATAAGTTTAGGAATCTTACTTTCTGAGTTTTAACAGGTAGTTATAAAATTATTTCCTCCAATTGTAAGTATTGTTTTTCTCTAATGATGAAGGAAGGCTTATAATGGGTTGTGGATGGCAAGTTGTTTATGCAGGATAATATGACTCTTTTTTCCCAGCAATTTCCCAGGAATGGGAATCACATGTCCTTACCCTTAATTTGCAGTATTTCTGTAATAATAGACTAGAAAGGCCACCATAAACTGCTTTTTGCTACTATTGCACAAATGATTTCCTTAAGTAACTATAACGCAGAAATTGTCACTTTATATAGGTGTTCCATATCATGGAATTGGCCTTTGAGTTAAAAGGAAGCACTATTCCTGACTAGTGTTTCAAGGTTTTCAGGCTTCCGCTAATCTTAGGAACAAAAACTATCTGTTGTTAGACATTTCTGGTACTGCCCTTCCTCTTTGCAGAAGAGAAATAGTATTTTGTTTATTGAAATTTATGGATGTTGTCTCCCCCATTTGCACTTCTATTTCAGATGATGTGATAAGGCGCTATTGATCAACTGTGTGGGGAGAGTTTGTCAGTAGTTCTAGCTATACACAATAGACTTACACAAGAGACTTCAAAAAGTGTATTTTGGATTTTCTGAAACAATAGATTTCTTATATATTTGAAGGTATATAGACTGCAAATAGTTTAGCATCCATTTTAGTCTTGGCAATTGAACTTTTGTATATGACTGCTACCAAAACATAATGGTTTATTTTTCATATTTGGAGCATAATAATAGTTTGAAATTTTTTTTTTTTTGTAGTTTGTACTACTAATCAAACTGAGCTCCTGAGTCTTTAAGTCATTCAATACAGAAAGGCCAGAGGAATTTCTATGAATTATAATTTCTGGTTATTTCTATGTATCTTTATGGGTTTTTTTTTTTCTTTTTCTAATGGCATAATGTTAAGCAAGGTATTAAATTTTGTATTTTTGAGATGTTCCTATACAAGTAAGCCTTAGATAGATAGTATTAATAGTAAAGATTGACACAATTTCCTGAACAATTTGTAGTGTAATTGACACCAGTTCTTTTTTACTGCAATTTTAATTTGGTTTACCATTTACTTTTGGCATCATTCAGTGTGTCAAACAGGAATAGTTAAATGATAAGACTTTGACGCAATTCATAGGATTCTCTAAAAAATTTTTATACTTTTCTATCATCTCATAGTTGAATAAGTCTTACAATGATTATTTTGGACTTCAATTTCTGATTTTCATATGAGCTTTATCATGATATTTACCATCTTGGTGTTGAAGATGCAGTGGTCTTTTGGGAGTTTTGTACATTATAAAGAGTAATAATGCTGAAAGGTGAAGTGACTTGAGTCCTGGGACTAGATAAAAAGGGAAAGGATGAGAGAAATGAAAACAAAAACAGGAGATGGAGGGGTTTAAAAGTTTGGTAATAAAAATGCATTTGCTGGGGTCATAGATGTTTATCAGCACAGTCTTGGCAGGAAGTTTGGGGAATGCTACTGTAGGGATTCTGTAATTCCTGAATCTGGGACAAAGTCTGCTCTCATTTGTGAACATGCAGGTCAAAGTGCTAGTAAGGTTTATGGCCCATACTAAGTAGAAACTGGGTTTGGGGGAGGAGTGGATGGGAACATGAGTAAACATACCCCTAAAGGTGTTTTTGAAGAAATTCAAATACAGTGCTATGCCTTTGTCTCAGAATTTTATGAAGGGAACATCTTTGTTAAGCTGTCTGTTATAAACCACTTAATAATTGTAGCCTCTCTCCTTGTACCTTTAAGTGGTGAAGGCCATTTGTGACCCCGTTCCTGATGCTAGAAGGATGATTAAGTATAGGCCAGACACCTAGCATCACAATAGGGACCACCAGGCAAGAAAATAGCAGTGCAATTAGCAGCACTCCTGTATTTGGAGCATATTTCTTCAGATTGTAACATTCATAGAAGACATGTTTAATAATTCTCTGGATAGGCCATTTCCAACGTTATGTCATTCTCTTAAAATATTTCCACATGTGTTTCATGTGTGTATGCAAAAGCATATGGTACCTTTATAAACATATATGCACATTTGGGGGATATGCTAAAATTTCTTTGATAGGGGTGCATGATCAAAAATGTGTAGAAACTGTTTCTCTAGTTATCACCAAAGTAGATGAGCGCTTGCTCTCCCAAGAATAATTTGTGATTGTTGTATTCTTTAAGTGATACTAAGTCTTAAAATGAAAAGCTGTTGTGGCAATCCAAAGAGGGTTGTGTTTTCTAATTTTAGCTGATCTGCTTAGTCCTTATTTGTAAAATGAAGGCATCTTTTATAGCCAACAGATACCAAAATTAAGTGTTACACCAATTCAAAGTCCATGTGCTCCTGTATATTAAACTATGTATTGCTATGTGTTGAAATTCCTATTTTATTTTTTAGAAATTTCCTTTTAAATGTTACGGCTTTTGTAACATTTTCATGGTTGCAAAATAACTAAGTTAATGTAGTTTTACATCAGTAATTAAATTTGTTTTAGCAATTACGGTTTAACCAGAAGTCCCTTGTATTTTTTTTTTTCTTGTTCAGAGCAATCCCTAAATTTTTAGGAAGGAAAAATGGCTAACAAACTTTATTTGAGAAGGTTCTATTGGTGGGCCTACACCTAAAGATTCTACAGTTATACTATAAACAAGATAGAATGCATTTTTCAGTCTTAATTTATGGCAGTTTTGTCCCCTTGAGTAAATAAACTAAGTGGAGTTGTATTTCCTGTTAATTGCATTTGTGAGCCTTGGAGTTACCAATATATATTCTTATTTGACTTCTCAACAACTGGGTGAGGTTGGCAAATAAGTAGGTCAGTATTTTTTAATTTTTATTTTATGGATAGGAAACTGAGGTTTACAGTGTTTAATTTGCTCCAATACTAAACAGCTAATAAAGAGCTAATTCATCATTTGAACTCAGTCTATTTCTATCCCCAGAATCCAAGCTCTTAACTCTTGTTATATAGGGAAGTATGACTTATTTATTTTGTTTTCCATTGTTGGAACATGTGTGTTTTAACTTCTCCTTGCTATTGGCCATCTTTGGTCCATTTTTATTATTTAAACCCTTCCACTCTCAATGTCCACTAGGCTTACAGTTGTCATGGGCTTTCTTTAGGAGGCAGTTGGGATGTAGTATAAAGAATACTAGTCTTGGACTCATAAGGATGAGTTGGAATCCAAGCCCGTCCCAGGTAGCAGCTGTGACTTTGGACATGTTGGTTTGCCTTTCTAAGTCCATCACTCCTTATGTAAAACGGTGGATAAAAATAAGACTGTTGTCAAGATCAAGCATGAAAACTAGCAATAATGGTTGGATTCTTAGGAGTTACAAATTCTATATCATGGAGGCAACTTGAATATAGCAGATTGTTTTCTTGAAAATTTGATGTTTCCGTGATTATCTTTAGAGTTATTTGAAAGTTTGCTTTAGCCAATAGCTGCAAGAAATATACTTGTGTTTTTGAAATAATATAGGAAGGAAACGAACTCCTTTTCCCTTTTTTTAAGGGTAGAAATAGATAAACCAGGCTTGGCATATTTATTTTACAGACCTCCGTGGACTGTGTCCTTAATATTGGGTTTTCATAGCTATGTTTTCAGTAAAGCAAAAAAAAAAAAAAAAAAAAAAAAAGGAATCTTCTCAGGTCTTTTGTCTATATTGAAGACACCTTGAGAGAGGAGTGCTGTACCCAGGTGGGTATAGCAGTGCAGCCTGTACAATGCACGTTTGCATTCATTATCTTGTGTAATCCCCACAAGAACTCTTTGCTGTATAAAGTAAGTTGACTTTTCCCAGGGTTTGCAGCCTTCGAGCTATTTGTATTTGGCCGTGCTTTTGCAAGATATTTTCAGGCTGGTTTTTAAACAGGACTCAGTGGTTCTCAATCGCATCTTAATCTAGAGTGGTGTGAGTACTTCCTTTACTGCAAAGAAAAGCAGCCTTTTTTTAAGTTATCAGTTTGGGCTTGAGTTTCTTCTTGTGATGTAACTTGATGCAACCTCTGTTTGAACACTAATACTGTAATTGATTTCTTTTAGTCAGTCATAAATGAATCATTGACCATGAGTTCTTTTTAGTTTAAACTCAATTCCCTTTTTCTATGTGACTGTATCTTCATCGACTAACTTGCTGCTGGGTTGTATAGCATTACTGTATACCTCAATGAAGGAGGTACTTAGCCAGCAGAGCTTCTTGCTAATTTATTTTGCAATAGTATAGGAAACAAAGGGCCCCATTCTTAAAAGAACCTCAAGAGACTTGCAGGCAAGATTCCTTTGACCCTTCCAGAAGTATTGCATCTTAAAGCCCTGTGTGGTTCAGGCCCTGTGTAGCCTTATACATTAGTCAGTGTGTTCCTATAATGTTTAAAATTGTGAGTTAAGAATAAGAGTTTCGAATTAATTAAAGCAAGGGTTAGGTGGCCAGTTTTCTCAGAACAGTTATTCCTTGAGGCAGGAGTTATGGTACAGAGTTTAAGATGGAATGCTAATGTAATATTGAAACGTTAGATAGCAGCTACCCCTCTAACTCCCAGATTCTTGCTTTTTCCACATTACACTGTCCTTTCTCAGTCTTGTGGGGTTCTTTCTAATGGTTAAAATGTGATTGGTGCTTTATCCTGTTCAGCACATTCACTTAACAGATACTCACTGAGTTCCTCAGTGTGTCCAGTACTGCACTCAGCATTGAGGTTGCAAAACTAGTCATCGGCTCTGCCCTAAAGGGACTTAGAACCTAGTGACAGAAAGTCACCAACAAAAGTAAAAATCGGACCCTTTAGAGTCTAGTGACAGAAAGTCACCAACAAAAGTAAAAATCGGACCCGAGACATAACTAAGGAAAGGAAAGTAGTAAAGTGGTGTCCTGGCAGCTGTAATAGAGTGACCTCCATGCAGAGACTTCCCAGAGGAGGGGCACGAGTGAGACCTGGAGGCTGAGGAAGGGCTTCTGTGAAGGAGGCAGGGCAGGGGTAACAGTGCACAGACCTGGCTGGAGAGTCAAGTGAATGGGAGAGGCCGAAGCAGACCAGGGACCGGGGTGGAGAGGAATTAAAGAAGTGAGGCCAGCTGCTGTGGGGCTTTATAGGTAGACTGACCTTATAATTTGTTCGATAAGTTTATCAACCAAACTGTAACTCTTGAGAGTGAAAACAGGGTGCTGTTAATAATTAAGCCCAGGTTATAAGCATCAGCCAGAACAGATTGTCACCTCATTTTCTTACGTTAAGAGTCTAATCTCTGAATAAGGGCTCGGCAACCAGCACTGCGTCTGCTTTCCAGTGCACGCACCAAGGAGTAAGAACACCTTATCTAGTCCAGGAGGAACCCAAACAGAACTCAGTGTTTTCTGGAACAGCTAGGTTGTTATGATTTGCTCTGGTACAGACATTAGTTACTTTCATGTTGTAAGGGTTCAGCATGGAAGGTTGGGTTTTAGTGTGAGCGCTAGATTAGAGGCACTTTCATGATGTACAAAACAGCACAATTTAACCATATCTTGAGCATTTTCCACATTTTTTTTGTTATAGCACTTGTCATTTTTGCAATGAGTATTTATTTGAATATCATTTTTTTAAATATGGTTTCCTTCTAGGCTTAACATTTTGAGTGTCAGTACCACCTGGCCATTCTTTCAAGGTGTGTGTCACATTTTTTTTCCCCTCTCTTTAAATCAATGTGAAAATTGTATACAGTTAAATGAGCAGAGTTCAGTAGAATTTGCATACCCATGTGATCCACACCCCAATCAAGAGGTAGAACATTTCTACCTTCCCCAGAAAACTCCCTTTTGGGGCATTTAAAATTTGGTTAAATAATATGGTTATAGAGCCCGGGCTCAATAAAAAATGAGTCGTATCCCTCTCCTTTTTCTACCTTTATTTTTGCTTCCTAATCATGCGGTAATGGTTTCTTTACACATGAAGCAAATTGTCACCAGAAGAAACTGTTGCCTTTCAACTAGTTATGATTTAATGGTACTAATACAGTATGTCCTTGCTCAATTTAGTTTGGCTTTTTAGCCTTTTAAAATGAGTAGTGAAATTTGAGTCATATCCCTATCACTGACTCACAAGCTTACTAAGGATTGCCTGGCGTTTATTATTAGGCCGAAACTTTAGAATCATGATCAATTGAAAAAGATGGTGATAATGCCAAATTTACATAACACCCCCCTTTTTCTTTTAGTCTGACCATGTCACTCTTTAGCAGATTTTTCAGGTAAAAGGAGCCAAGTGTTAAAACTGTATATATCTGAGACCTAGCCTTGAGGACTTCTTTCCATCTCAAAATTTTCAGCTTCAGTTGCCAAAAAGCAGCTAGATCATAGACTTAAGTTACAGCACAATTAGTTGTGAAATTGATTGAATTCAAGAGCTGTGTGTCACTGTCTTTAAAGAGTCTTGAGTGCAGAGATGAGAAGACTTGTCCTAAAGAGACTGGCAATTAATGAGTGGGATTTACTGAGGGCTAGGAAAGGAGATAATTCACCAGTGATTGAAAAGGGGTTTAACTCCTTTATTTCCCCTGTGGATTTAGTGTTCTGATTAGGAACAAGAACTGGAACCCCATCTTGAATTAATTAATTTTTTTCCTGAGAAGAACAATGTGTTC